CCAGGGTGCTTACTCTTGAAACCAATCTCAATGTCAATGCAATTTCAATCCAATAAAATCTCAATAATTATTCAATGTCAACACTATACAACCACAATCGTAGCTGTTACAATAGCATTCAGAGTACGGAATATAAAGACAAACTCGATACCATTTAGTTCATTCAATATCCACGCAATACGGATGCAATGGGCGCTAGTGTTGCAACTCAAGAGTACGACACAATATCAATGTCGATCGATCGGAATTGGGTTCAAGAGTACCTAAGCACTCTCTGCTGGATTCCTCACGATGTTTTCCTTCACCGTTTGTCAGTGGTGTCTAAATAATCTTAGAAAGTACATATAGCTCGGATAAAGTCACATTGGTACTTGCCGTCGTTGTCACGGCGTTGTCTGCCTTTTCAGATCCACTGAATCAATAGTTAAGTTATTGTAATATTTAAAAATGTACGATTTCATGACCAATGTCTGTGTCGATACAAAAATCGTGATTGCATAGTCATTATTAGTCACGGTATATAGAAACTAGCAACCCGCCCCGGCTTCGCACGGGTTGCAAATAGAAACTTCTAAATTTATCAAGGTTTTTTCTACTATTGGTTATGTGCAAAGCGAGTAGTGGCGGACAGATAAATAACGACCGCAGCGCACAGCACGGGAGAAATTGAAAACAAATGCGGGTGATCAGCTGTCAAATGTGTTGATTGCAGTACAAAGTCAAAGCAAAGAAATGGACCGTGGTTCGTATTAAGTAGCTCTGGCCGTTATGTCGCAGTTCTTCCACATTTCTTACATGCTCGGCTAATACTAATTTTATTGCCTTTTGTCTCAGTTTGTGGTTGGAAACTAATATTATGTGTAATAGTTTCTAACCCGGCTTTTATTATTATATTCATTTTACAGTAAAACTATTGAATAAATTGCACTTAAATAATGTCAACAATACTTTTTTAATATTTGGTTTTATTTATATTTGCAAAGAAAATTATAATGTTTACATAGTCATTATTTGACAGCTTCCGCAAATGTTGTAAACGCTACGCGTCGCCACCGTCGTGCACATAGCCAATATTATGCATGTATTATACATATAAACCTTCCTTAAGAATCACTCTATCTGTTAAAGAAAACCGCATCAAAATCCGTTGCGTAGTTTTAAAGATCTAAGCATACATAGGGACAGACAGACGGCGGATAGCGACTTTGTTTTATACTATGTAGTGACTAAATGTTAACTGTTTTTCGCAGGTGGCTCAGCGCATCAATGCAGATATGCATCGGGCTTTAGACGCAGCGGTAGCAAAGTTCGAAGCCGGAGACATTACTGGCGTAGTGGTGAGTTAAATGGACTAATAGACCGAAATGTCAAAAAAACGCTGACATGCATTTTGAAATGTATCTAAAACTAGCTTTTACCCGCGGCTTTGCTCGCGTCACAAAAGTATAAAAAGCCAATGTGACATATAACAATACATACAGTGCCATCTATACCAATACTTTTGTTTTCCCTCGGGAATATCAATTTTTTCCGGGATAAAAAGTACCCTATTATTTAATCCTGACTTCTAACTTTACGTCTGCAAAAATTCAAAGCAATCGGTTTAGTAGTTACGGCGTGAAAGCGGAACAAACAAACTCACTTTACGATTTATAATATTAGTAAGAATAGTAAGAATAAATTCTATAGCTCTAATATACCTCTAAAAAATTAAAAATATGTTTTTCTCGCGGTATAAATTTATTATTTTATCATAATTTCAAATTTCGCGCGTATTTCGCGAAAACGCGGCATTTACCGCGTCCGCTATTTAGCGGACGCCATGATTGTTTTGTAGTCATGACGTCATTACGTCAGTATTTATTCAGTAAACTCAAAGTCAAAGTCAAAACGTTTATTGCAACTAAGTAACTAAATACAGCTGACAGTAATACACACTTAGTACAATGACAGCTGACACTTTTGTTTACTATCGTAGTGACGTCATTAGCATGGCGACGACATTTCATAGTGTTCAAACAGATAAAAAAACATTAAAACTTTTTAAACTGCAATAAAAAAATCTATAACTTCTGGGTTTTTTCAAAAAATCTCAGTAGTAGCACGGAGTCTGGAATTGTACCCGATATATGGCAATAGACTCACCTCCTATTACACGGGACTCATAACATAAATAGTGAAAAGTGGGTGTTACATTGTACAGTGGCATTAAGTGCCGTAATGTGCACCTCTGCCTACCCCTTCGGGGATAAAAGGCGTGATGTTATGTTATGTTCTTCTCAGAGTTCAAATCTTTGATATGTATAAAATAATACATATTTTTTTAGGAACTAGAAGGCCTCATATCAGTGAATCGTCTATGCCACAAGCTACTAAGTCGATACCTAACTCTGGACGATTTCGACGCCATCCTCCGAGAGAGTGATCATGGCGTACTGGCGCCCTATGGACGGATAACTTTGCACGTCTTCTGGGAACTCAACTTCGATTTTCTCCCGAACTATTGTTACAATGCGGCTACGGACCGGTAAGTACATAGAAATGACGTTTTAAAATAAATAATTTTAAGTTTCGAGGATGCTCGATTAGTATCGAGATGTAACAGGACCCGTAGCTATCAACTTTAGGGCGTTACGTCGAAAGTGAAATGTATTACTTCATTTTTAACCGACTTCAAAAAACGTCCAGTTCTGGGCAAAGGACTGCACTGTTGGTGCGGTGGCTGGGCAACCGGCTGCCGTGCAACGTGTCGCGGGTTCGATTCCCGCACTCGAACAACCCTTTGTGTGATCCACAAATTGTTGTTTCGGGTCTGAGTGTCATTGTGTATTTGAACTTGTATGTTTGTAAATGCACCCACGACACAGGAGAAAATCCTAATGTAGGGCAACGTTTAAAAAAAAATGCTTCCCCCCTCAGTCCTCAACATTGTACGGCAACTCGCCACCTGCATCCACTGGCTCTCTGTGACTTTGGCGATATCGCGACTCCTTAAACTGTCAAACACCGCGAGGACACCGGTGACCGCAACCTATTGTTCTATAATTGTGTCTATAATGACGGTACTCGACGAGTTAATATGCTTGGACTGATTTCACTAATCATTTTTATTAATCGATTTCATAATGAAGTCGGTAAAATAAGGTTCTCTGTCTGACCTGTGTGTATATTTGTGCGCAATTGTCTCACGATTGGCTGAACCGATTTTGATGCAAAATCGTCCAAAAGGTCCCGAATTACTGTGTACCTAAGGGCCCCAGCGTAGTCTAAGACGGCCCTGCACTAGGCACTTGCCTCGTTTGTCCTAGGGAAAATACGGCTTTGGACTCAATGGACTGTTTCCTTCTATTTTTTATGGTATAAGCCGGTAAACGAGCAGATCACCTGATGGTAAGCAATCGGCGTCGCCGATGGACACACGGAACACTAGAGGCGTTACAAGTGCGTTACCGACCTTTACTTTGACTTTGAGGATTGTTGGGGATTCAGAGATTGGGGTGATTGGGGAGGGGGTTAATGGGTCCTCCTGTAACCTCACTCACACGACGAAACACAACATTGTGGTTGTTTCGCTATGGTTTTCTGCTCGTTGGTGGTATCACTCCGGTCGAGCCGGCCCATGGCTCTCCCACACTTAACATCTGGTGATGATAATGTTGATAGATATTATTATATATTGTCCCCAGCTTCGTAAAGTGTCGCGGCATTCAGTTCGCGGCGGGAGTGACTCGAGAGAAGCCCCAGCAATACGGGCACGCTCTACTGTGGGGATCCAAACAGCTGAGTCTGGCCTACTCCGCGCAGTATGCTCAATATGTCGGTACGTATATAAATATTTAGTTTTCTACTCTCGCTGTAGACAAGCGCTAAAGTGGCGTTTGGCTAAAGGCACAGGTCCGCTCAAACTGATGTGTACTTTGCCCGACCGGGGAATCGAACCCGAGACCCTGCCTTGCCTGGCAGTCGAACCTGCGACCTTTCGGCTAATGGGGCAGTCATCATGATTTAATTTCATTATAATAATAATTATGAAAATTGTATTGTTTCCTTTAGCAATAAGTAAATTATTCCGACTGTTCAATACAACTGCCTGCCTCGTTGGCCGAGTGGTCGCAAGTGCGACTGTCGGGCAAGCGGTCTCGGGTTCGATTCCCGGGTCGGGCAAAGTATTATTGAGGTTTTTTTAAATCTCAGTAGTAGCACGTAGTCTGGAAATGTGCCCGGTATATGGCAATAGGCTCACCCCCTATTACATGGGACTCATAACATAAATAGTAAAAAGTGAGGTACAGTGGTATAATGTGCACCTCTGCTTACCCCTTCGGGGATAAAAAGGTGTGATGTTATGTTATGTTCAATACAATAAAATGTTTAAAAAAATATTCACTATCGTTAATTATTTTGACGATGTATTTATTTTCGACTCTGTAGCAATTTTTTAGATAGAAGTACCGCGTCATGGGCACTGATTACGTTAAAAACATTATGACTTCATAATTCGAGATCTCCTAAATAAATCGTAATTTTTCTTTAATTCTCTACCTTTATTATTTAGTATTTATTTATTTATCTTTATATCACACAGGTAAGTATTTTATAATCTAAGCCCCACACAACCGTTGCAATGGTTTGACTGCGGGGTCGAGTCGCTAAACATTATAATTATAACATTTAAATATAAGTACATTTATGTATATTTAAATATTATATATATAATATAAGTATATCTATATAATTAAATAATCAATACATAGTATAAAACAAAGTCGCTTTCGCTGTATGTCCGTATGTATGCTTAGATCTTTAAAACTACGCAACGGATTTTGATGCGGTTTTTTTTAATAGATAGAGTGATTCTTAAGGAAGGTTTGTATGTATAATACATGCATATTGCACCCGTGCGAAGCCGGGGCGGGTCGCTAGTATTATATATAATATAAGTACTTATTTTTTTATTATATTTATGTACTTATATTTAAATGTTATACAGGCGTTGAAACTTATACTTACTTATTCTTCCCAGGCTTCGTAGGCGCCCAGCACCTGCACGCGCTGGTGCGCCTGCTGGGCTACCAGGGCGTGGCCGTGGTGGTGTCGGAGCTGCTGGACGTGGCCCGCGGCCTGCTGCACGGGACCATCGCCCAGTTCACGCGGGCACTCGCCGCCGCCATGCCCAGGCATTGCAAACTGCCTCGCTACGACTATGGCTCCAATGGTAAGTTCCAATGGGGTAGACGACTAATTTTTATTTTAATGTCCGTCTGGTAGATTATTTAAAAATATTAGACACGTATTTTTTATTTTCTCACGGAAACAAATAATTTTGAAGATATATTGATTTGAAATGTCGCGTGACGTTACTTCTCAGTACATTTTATACTAAGAAATGACGTTTTACCCCCAACTCCTAAACTTTAACTCGTTTTATCTAAGTATTGTTTTATTATACGACAAAATAAAAAAATACGTGTCTAATATTTTTTTATTACCTAACTTACGGACTAATTATATTTTTAATTTTTATACCCTGTCAACATCCCCATTACAATTAACACGCTTTTACCAGTGGAGTGTGGAGTAACATTAACGTAATATTACGCCTTTTATCCCCGAAGGGGATTTTTTATGGCATAAGCCGGTAAACGAGCAGACGGATCACCTGATGGTAAGCAATCGGCGTCGCCCATGGACACACGGAACACCAGAGGCGTTTCAAGTGCGTTACCGGCTTTTTGAGAATTGAGAATTTGAGGATTGTGGAGGATTCGGGGATTCGGGAGACTAGGGAGGGGGTAATTAGGCCTTCGGTAACTTCACTCACACGACGAAACACAACGCAAGCGTTGCTTCACGTCGGTTTTCTGCTCGGCCGTGGTATCACTCCGGTCGAGCCGGCCCAGCAGTGCCGAAGCATGGCTCTCCCACACTTAATAGGTAGGCAGAGTTACACATTACGGTAACCAATGTCACTGGAATGTAACCCACTGGACCCACATTCGACTGACTCATTTCCCGAGTGGTCTCGGTTTTGATTCCCGGTCCGGGCCAAGAATTACTGGATTTTAAAAAAAAATCAGTAGTAACACAGAGTCGGCAGTTGAGATGATGACAGGGTATGAAAATTAAAAATCTAATTAGTCCGTAAGTTAGGTAACGAAAAAATATTAGACACGTATTTTTTTATTTTGTCGTTTAATTAAACAATATTTAGATAAAACGAATCAAAGTTTAGGAGTGGGGGCTAAAACGTCATTTCTCCGTATAAAATGTACATAGAAGTGACGTCACGCGACATTTCAAATCAATATATCGTCGAAAGTATTCGTTTCTGTAAGAAAACAAAAAATACGTATCTAATGATTTGAAATAATCTACTAGACGGACATTGAAATAAAAATTAGGCATCTACCCTATTGTGCCCATATGGCAACAGGCTCACCCCCTATTACATGGGACTCTTAACATAAATAGTGAAAAGTGGGTGTTACATTGTACAGTGGCATTAAGGGCCGTAATGTGCACCTCTGCCTACCCCTTCGAGGATTAAAAGCGTGATGTTATACATTCTAGTTTCTCTCTAAAACACAGAACCTCCTTCGTTTATTAATTTCTTTCTTATTCCCTTGTCCAGGTGTCCTAGGCTACTACCACGCCCAGTTGACAGACATCGTGCAATATCCAGACGCCAGAACTGAGCTGTTCCACGCGTTCAGGGAACTTGGGAACATTATCCTGTTCTGTATGCTTATAGAACAAGTGAGTAAAATACACGTCTACAGCCTATAAGTGGTCACTGCTGACCTATGAGCCTATAAGTGGTCACTGCTGACCTATGAGCCTATAAGTGGTCACTGCTGACCAAAGGTCTCACATGGAGAAGGATTTTTTATGGAATAATCTGTTAGAGCAGACGGATCACCTGATGGTAAGCAATCGCGTCGCCCATGGACAGTTGAAACACTAAGGGCGTTGCAAATGCATTACCGATCTTTTGGGGATTAGGAATTTGAGGATTGTTAAGGAGTTTGGGGAGGGGGGTAATTGGGTCTCCGGTGACCTCACTCACACGACGAAACACAACGCAATCGTTGTTTCACGTCGGTTTTCTGTGACGTCGTGGTATCACTCCGGTGGCCCCGCCCAGCAGTGCCGAATGGCTCTCTCACACTTAAATCATTAATCACCACGCTTGCTCAATGCAGGTTAGCGATTTCAAATTTATAATTAGAAATTATAAGCCCAGGTTTCCTCGCGATGTTTTCCTTCACCGTTTGTCAGTGGTGTCTAAATGATCTTAGAAAGTACATATAGCTCGGAAGCCATATTGGTATTTGCCAGATTTCGGTCGTGCATGAGAAGCGGGCACCGTTTTTATTATTTTGGGTGGCTCGGAGGTTGGACTACCCAAAATTTTCAAATTCCACTTGGGTACTTGCCAACTAGTCAAATTCAATACTTTTTTCGAACTGTCAAAAACGACAGTTTCCTATGAATTTTGTACGAGATTGTGTATTGCGACGTCACGTTTTTTTAGCGTCAAACAGCATAGTTATTTCTTAAATATTCATAGGTCATAAAATCAGTTAGTGAAAGTGTGATTATTTTTTAATATTCTATTATATTGAACAGTCGAAATAATTTATTTTTGATGAAGGCAAGTACCCAATTCACAAGAAATATTCAAATATTACCTACTTATAATTGGGTAGTTTCCAGAGTATCAAAATTATAAATCTAATTAGTCCGTCAGTTAGATAATGAAAAAACATTAGACACGTATTTTTTTATTTTCTCGTATTAAGTTGCAATACTTAGATAAAATGGCGCTAAGTTTAAGAGTGGGAGATCGTTACGTCATAACGTGCTACAAAATGTGGCACGCTGTGACGTCACACGATATTTCAAATTAATATATCGCCGAACGTATTTAATTTTGTGAGAAAAGATAAAATACGTGTCTAATGTTTTAAATTAATGTACAGTCAAAGGTCAAAAGTCCACTGCCACCGTGAGTGATGTTCACACGGCAATGCGTAAGTAATTACATATTAATGTGGATACACGCTCGTGCGTACACACACACGCACGCGTACGCACATGGATACAAATATGCGTGTGTTTGTGTGTGTATAACCGATGTCGCGGAGAACCTAACGGGTAACCGGGGCTCCGGCTCGACGTGCAGGAGAAGGAACGGGGTGGTTTTTAGTCAGTAAGAGTCTGACACTCCCTCCCGCCTCACCCAGGCGAGAGCAGTCATTCGATGATTTTCCCCCCTTAAAAAAAAAAGTAGTCTTACGGTGGCAGTGGACTTTTGACTTTTGATCGTACCAGACGGACATTAAAATAAAATTTAGAAAACTACCCTATTCTTCTATTTAATTTTGTCTGCAGGCTCTCAGTCAAGAAGAAGTGACGGACTTGCTTCACGCGGCTCCATTCCAGAATATTCTGCCGAGACCATTCGCTGCAGGTGGGTTTTATGATAATGCTAGCTTCTACCCGCGACTTCGTACGCGCTATCCTGTTTTGTCCCGTTTTTTCGTGAATTTCGGTAAAAAAAATTGGGTATTAAGATGCGCAATCCCGTTTTGTTCCGTTCCCGTTCGTGATTTTCGGTAAAAAGTGAAAAAATTGGACAAAAGTATCCTATGTTCGTCTCCTAGTTCTAAGCTACCTGTCCATCGATTTTTATCCAAATCGATGTAGCCGTTCTTTAGTTATACATAGTGCAACTAACACGACTTCTTTTATATTATAGAAGATATAGATATAATATAGACCAGAAAATAAGAATTGATTTACATAACATAACATCACGCCTTTTATCCCCGAATGTGTAGGCAGAGGTGCACATTACGGCACTTAATGCTACTGTACAATGATACACTGTACAATACACCCACTTTTCACTATTTATGTTATGAGTCCCATGTAATAGGGGGTGAGCCTATTGCCATATACCGGGCACAATTCCAGACTCCGTGCTACTACTGAGATTTAAAAAAAAAACAGGAATACTTTGCCCGACCCGGGAATCCAACCCAAAACCCCTTGTCCGGTAGTCGCACTTGCGACCGTTCGGCCAACGAGGTCAGAGGCAGATTTAATAATTTTCATTAAGTCACTTTGTTCGATCCAGGAAATGAACCCGGGTATAATTAAATGATGACATCTAACAATGACATGTAAATGTACTATTTATATAATTTACATTATTACTTACTTATTTATATAATTT